TCAGCGTACTTCACAAAGTTTATTTCATCAGAGTGAGGCAAGTCGTGCAAGAAGAAAGAAAAAAGAAAAGGAGAAAGAACAGCACCTTGAGGGACACCAGCTTCAGTAGGCAATGAAGTGGAAGACTTCCCTTTATATACGGTGTACTGCTTTCTATCTGAGAAATAGGAATATAACCAGTTAACAGCCCAACATTCTGTTTGACTAGCAGCAAGTTTATTTAATAAGATGTCCCTAGGGACCGAGTCGAAAGCAGATGTATAGTCTAGGAAGGCGCAACGAACAAATTTAGCCCCCTTGTCTAGACTGGAAGCAATGTTATGATATAAGACGGCAGCTGCATCTAAAGTGCTTCTACTGTGCTTATAGGCAAATTGTTTAGGGTCATTAAAGGATTTAAGCGAAGGTACAAGACTAAGTAAAAGTAATTTCTCCATAGTTTTCAAAAAAGGAGAGGTAATAGCAATGGGTCTAAATTTGACACATGCTCCAGTAGATGATTTAGGTATGGGTACAACTTTAATGTCCTTCCAAACGGCAGGCACAATATTATCGGAAAAAGATTTGTTAAATAGATCAGTAAGAGGGTGACACAGAATATCAGAACATTTTTTAAAAATAATACTAGGTACATAATCGGGACCTAAGCTCTGGGAAGGGTTTAGAGACTTGAGGCACTTTTGAACATCATTTGTGTTAAAACCTGGAAAGGGGCTATTATTAACACAAGTGATGCTGGGAAGCATGGCATTTGAGGGAGAGTAAATAAAAGATTTGTTAAGAGTACATACATCAAAAGAATATGGAATATTGTTTATCTGCTTACCACCAGTGATTTCCTTAAATAGTTTCCACATATTAGAAGGATTTTTGCAGGATATGAATTTCTGGTTATATATTACATTCAACCTCTGCATTTCAGACTTAATTAAGAAGTTAGTTCTTTTTACACCAATTTTATCTTTGATTTTATATAGTTTTTCCTTCTCTCTACGAAGCTTTTTAAGTTGAGGCGAGGAGAAACGGTCAAATTTGACGAATAGTGTTTCTTTTGGACAACAGATTTCAAAACAGAATTTCAGATAGGATGTAATATTAGAGATATTGTCATTAAGTGAATCAACATTAAACAAATCCCATCTTGTGTCACTGAGCATGTTTCTAAGATGATGTACGTTCTCATTTGAGTAGCATCTGTGAACAACTTTCTTAGACAAGTTTGAGAGGGCTTTACTGTGTAACTTTCCGTAAATTTTGGGTAAGACTCGTACAATACAATGATCAGAATTGAAGAGCGGGGCTCTTTTACGAGCTTCGTATATTCCAGAATCATTTATAAATACTAAATCAAGTGAAGTATTTTGTCGAGTTGGGAAATTAACAACATTTGCATGGCCCAGCAATGTAATAAAACTGCAGTCGCTGGAGTTGAAGTCGCCAGTCACTATAGATAAGGAGTTACCAAACGAAGCAGCAGCAAAAATAGTGAATTCATCAGCGAAGATAGATAGTTCTGAGGGACTGCAACAAGGTGTGATATAGATATTTGTGACAAAAATGAAGCTATACTTAGGTAAGTGTTTAGGTCGACATTTTACAGTTATACAGTCAATATTGTCATTTGAGAATTTGAAGCAGACGTTGTTGGCAGTAGACCACTGAGAATTAATAAAAGTGGCAACACCACCACCTCTCTTCTTCTTTGAGCTGCATCGGTCTTGTCTGTAGATTGTGAACCCACTTAAGGAGACTAAATTATCGTCATATGAATCATGGAGCCAAGTCTCTTGAAGAGTGATTACACCAGTATTACAATATACATTTGAGTATAATAGAGAATGCAAGTAGTTAATCTTGTTCGATAATGACCTGCAATTTGTGCTCATAATCACAGGAACAGTCATCTGATGCATTGGAGTACACTTTAATGATCTCTGCCAACCTCCATGATGCTTTTTCTTAACGTTATTATATACTCGTAAATCAACGGGTTGAAGACATTTTAAATAATCGCGAGAGTAAGTAATGCGACTTGGATACATAATTGAATGATTAAAACAAAATAAATCCGAGGAAACAGATGCAATATGGAGGATGGAAATTTTGGTTGCCCAAGATTTAGGCAGGCCGTAATCGATTCCAGCCTAGCATGTTTGTCACACAAAAACGACTATTTATTTTGACACCCCATACATAACTAATCTATTATTCTACGTTAAAAATGTATCCTCCGCATAACTGGGCATTATTGTAACAACCACAAATATTATATTTTATAATTGTAATAACCTGAAATAGAGAAATTATTGAAATGAATATTCATCGTTCAGATTGACTTTTAAAAGAATAATCTCAAAGATGTGCCATTAGAATTCTAAATTCTACATAAAAAATTACGCTGCTACATAAAAAAAATCCTGCTTTATTAACCTTTATTGCTTGTTTTAAATGTTGCCATTATCAGTAAAATATCCTCATCGAAGTGTTGCGTGAGTAAATGGTATATCTGCCAAGTTTCAGCTTAGGTTTGAGAAAGATTAAATTACGGTTTAGGCGACATTAGAGTTCTTCGGAGTTAGATTACAGTTAGTTTAGGGATATTTTCATGTTAGGTTCAGGAAAGATTAGGTTTGGTTACATGATTTCATCATGAGCTGACATTAGTTAGAGAACTACTGGAAAACCTACCTGGGAGTACTGGACAGCTGTTTCGTCCCCACAGTACGCACCCACCGGGATTCGAACCCAGGACTTTCTGGTTACAAGCTGAGCTCGTATACCATTAAGCCACTGGGACCCAATCAACCAAATCCCTACAAACCAATACACTTGAAAGATTAGGATTATTGTTAGGATTAGAAGGCCTAAATAATTACATGCATAGACTGTGGTTAAATTACTCTGCCGATATAAGAATAGGACTTGTGCACACTAATAGGGCATAATTCAGTGTGAGTAAAATTTATTTCGATAAATTCTCACAGTTTTACGCAGTAATATTTAGTGATGACGTTTCTAGCACAATCTATTGCTCAGTAAATATTACTGTATAACACTATGAAACTTTACCGAAATAAATTTTACCCACAATAGAATTATGCTCTATTGATACTCCAAGCTAAAACTGAGAGCTATTTTTATCACATGTGAAAGGAAAGTATCCTCTGTAAAACTTTTAGGCTGTTTTTATGCAATTTTTTCATAAATATACGTATTCCATACACATGAATGCCTCGTTCACGTGATAGGTGCGTTCGAGATCATTCGCTGATTGGTAGTTAGTGGTGCTTAACGTTTAACTTTGCCGATTTATCATGTGGTTTAGGTTGGGGGATAAAAGCATTTGGCCACACCTACAGTTGATTCCTTTTAATATGTATTGGAAAATTATGGTCATAAGACTTAATAGGCCTCTACCCTGAAACTTCGAGTGGAAAGCAGCATGTGCTAGCTAAAGCAAAGCATACTATGAGTTGGATGACTCCAACGTTGATTCCACACCAATACGCCTAGACTGTAACTGAGGCAGTAATTGAATAAATTCTCGTGGATTATGGTGTACCGAAGAGCACGCCATCAAGTAAGTGCTTGTGGTTTGAGAATGTAGAATTTAAGAGTCGGTTGACGAAATTATCTATAAAAACGATGATAATGGTACTGTATCACCACAATACTAAAAGTCTGATAGAAAGTAATCGACATACACAAACAGATTGGCTGGCAACAAAATAGATGCAATCGAAAGACAGAAGTGTCATTGGTATTACTAGCTGAATGAACCTCCATTCTAGGGACAATAAAATAACCATTGCTCTAGCTGACTTATGGGAATAAACCAAGATTTCTGGTTTAGCATAAAAGGTGGCTGTGGCAACTTTGAAATGTAACCACATTGACAAATAAGTGAAAAAAAGTTATACGAAATCTATAAGAATAACTAAATGCTCACGATGAGTAAGCCAGACCGAAGTAAATTAAGACGTGGCAATTATTTGAAGTTATATACTAGTTGAATCCTTAAGAACAAAAGTATACCACTTGGGGTCCGCCACAACTGAGAAAGCTACTTTTAAATTTTGAATAACCCTAAGTAGCCATATCTTGATTGTCATTATTATTATTCTCTTGCGTTCCGAATGGAACATAGAGCTCCAACAGCACATTTCCACTCTGTTCTGTTTTCTGACGTCCTCTTCAACTGTCCAGCTACACAATTTACCGAATTCTCTCATCCCTTCCTCACACGATCTCCTCCATGTCACTCACTCAAAGACATCCCACTCGTCGCCTCCTATTTGGTTTTCGCTTGAGTAATGTACTGGCGTGCGATGTCATTCGACAGCCTCCTCAATGTATGCCCAATCAGTGAATCTCCATTTTCTTCTGCATATTTGTTGAGCGATCTACTCTCACCTGTTGGTTTGTTCTCATAGCTTATTGTTGCTGTATTCTTTCTGGCTGTTTGATCTTCAGTATGGAGCCAGCAAAGTAAGCAGATGTTGATGGAAGTCTACAACCTGTTGAAAATCCCTTTCGTGATGCACCCGCCATATTTCTGACCCGTGTTGAAAATGCACATCTCGTTGTTATTGCTGACTGAGTGTAGGAGATTTCCAATCTGGATTCAGGTTGATGAAGGCTGGCGTATCTTACCTTTCTGATTCTAGCTGGCTGGCTCTGACATCTTCATCAATTCCACTGGCCTGTAGTTGAAACGATGCTTCCTGGCTAGATAAGGGAATGAGGCGACCTCTGTTAAATCTCTCCCGTTGATAGTGACTGCTGCTGGTTGTTATTGCTGTTGACTGATGGGTTCCAGTATACACTGCAAAGAATGAAGTTAAAGAAATAAAGGGTAGACGCTTACTGGCTGCAACGTTGGATTTAAACACGTCAAATTAGCATGAATATCCATTCATGTACATATTACATTTATGTATATTCTTTATAATAATATATATTTGTATTGATATTTTTTCTAACTTTTGAAATTTTTGAAGACATGGCCTTGGTGTAGCTGTTTTAGAAGGCGTTGTCTATGCAGTCGGTGGACATGATGGATGGTCTTACTTAAATACTGTAGAACGATGGAATGGTAAAGCTAAAGCTTGGTCCCCTGTCACTCCAATGGCTGTTCAACGCAGTACAGTTGGTGTCGCTGTTCTAGATGGATTGTAAGTTGTTGTAGTTATTAAATCGTACAGTCATTCAAGTCATCCTTTGGCTTTAGTGATAAATGAATTTTATAAATATTTAGTCGGAGTATGCAAGTTTTCAGTATTTTAAGCTGTAAAATAAGATATTTTGTAAAGAGAGCCTTTTGTAATATACAGAGACGATTTAGGTAACCTTCTGAGGCTTAAAGTCAGTTAATCGGTATAAACTTTTCATGTGCCAGGCCATTAGCCATTGATGATAATACTCAGTTGCCCAGGATGAAGTAGATGGAGACGGTTTCGAACCTGCGGCAATTGGCCGAACTTTATCTCTACTCTAAGCAGTAGAAGCACTTCCAGTAATGCGAAATCATAAGTGAAAATTCAATTGAAGTGATTCCACTTTGGAGGGTTATTTAAGATTAGTCGAAACTAGGACAACAGAAATAATCACAGCAACCATCAGAGGATACCGTAGCAGATATCTACTATTAAAATATTTATTCATGAACGATTCTTAATATGAAATGTACTATTTATTTTAATTTGTGTTTTGTGCTTCCAGCGGAACACAGGGCTTCAGACTAGTGCTTTGAGGTTTCAGTGATAGAGGTCCTTATTTTATACGGGGAGGGGGCGAGGCGGGTTGCTAGTTTCACTCCCAATCTTTTCACTTAACCGGGCTTACTTTGGACCAACTGTGTGGTTGGTGAACCAACAACGCACTAAAACACACTAATTTCCTCATTATTTATTCTGGCTTTCATGTGAAGTAAGCCTTCTCCTATGAGCTGAACAACTGTGTCTCTTGATGAACTTTAGCGTTTTTCGCTGTTACGGGCAATTTACCTATTTCCTTGCTCACTTGTATTTACTGTTTCCTTGAACTGATATTGGACATTTTGTCTATATGACTAGCTTCTTTCAATAGCCTGATTACAGTGGGACATTGTGTTATGCCACAAACTGCAAAACTATTATTCTTGGTATTACATTTGGTAGTGAATGAATTCTCTTTGAAGACTTTCACCTCTGAGTACAAAAAACCCCAGAGTATCATTTGTAACGACCAAAATTCAAGCATAATGGTCTGATGTTTCATCCTAGTTTGGGACTGTTTATCAGTATGCAATCGCATCGCCTGGTTCGAACCCAGGACCTTCCGGTTACAAGGCAAGCAAGCCCACTGCTCATTAAGACACTAGCACTCAATCCAATGGCCAGACAATGAATTCCAACTCCAGCAGAGTTCAACAATAGCATCACAAGGGATGAGAACGCATGAGTGACCTTCAATAAGTAACTTTGCACAAAAAATGACGTATATTCACAAAAAATACATGGAAACACATTAAACAGGGTATCTTTCTCTGACATGACTAAAAAATACGTCCCCGTTTTAATGAGGAGTATCAGTTGCTAAGTTAGACAAGTTTCTGTGCATGTATTCACCTAGGTGGCTAAAGATAAGTTGCCTTTGTGAACTGTTTATCTCTCTTGTCCTGTTGTGTAGTCTTCCCCAAAAGCCTACGGTTGAATTACTACGGTTTCCAGTAAGAGGATCGACGACTACTTACCAGGAAAATTTGGATAAGAAAAAATTGAAATAAATGACATCAACTCTAAATCTATCCCTAGTCATAACGATAACCTTAATCCTGGCCCTGACCTTAAATTTAAGACTAACCCTAATTACAACCCTTACCCTAAACACAAACCTAACCATAATGCTAATTATGGCCCTGATCCTAACCCTAACGATCTATTAACACATTGTCCAAACAGTACTTAAAAACGTGATCTGAGTGAAATTTTTTCTCCTTAGTTGGTGAATAGCGTTGCTATATCAGCTATCGAATTGACAGGTCCCCTTAGTCAACGACTAGCATGCAGTTTTGGTCACTGGAGCGTTCGCACTCTTGGAACGCTGTTGTTGAACTTCGCCCCCAACTCCTGCCAGTTCACAATATAGCTCGATCACTAGTGAATATGATTGCCGACGCGTATTTATCCTCACGCCGGATCTGCTGTATCCCAATGGTCACGACTTCTCATTAGAACCCCAGGTGACTACCTGCCTGAATATGGCCAGTCGCTAGTAGGCGTCAGACTGATATTCAAGTTTTCCTTTGGGGGGATTCGATTTGACTGGTTTCAGGATTTCAACAACTGTTCAGCACTACCAGATTTTCTTACTGTCCTCTGACTGACGTCATTTCGTGATGTAAATCTTGAAACCAATGAAATCTTTGTAAATCAACACTTTATTAAAATATTTTGAATACAGGAACGGCTGTTAAGCAGGAATAACACATGAAAGATGAGAAAATGCCTCAGTAATACTGTCCGACATCTATACAGACAAATATGGGAGATCAAATTTCTGTCTGTAAGATTCAAGCGGAACAGAACACCTTTCCCACAGACAGTCAAGGATCATGCCGCCTCCTCACCATGTTATACTGATTTCGCTCAAACAAAATGAAAGACCGACAACAATACACTGAAAACTTCATTTCACCATAACAAAGATAAACCCCCGAAGTAACAAAGAAGATTTATAGTTCAGGTGGTTGATTTTGATTTGATTGTGTTCTCTGAGCTGGTCGATTTAGTTAGGAAGCTTTCAAAGTCTTTCTAGACATCATCTTCAGCACAAGTTTTAATGTAAAACTGCACCGACAGAAGACAAGAGCCAGGCGAAAAATCCCTTATTCAGGAAACCAACAGATATTTATAGATTTTTATGGTCGTTATTATTCGTTATTATTAGCAAAGAAACAGCGTCTTTTGATTGGTTGTTTTCTCACTGTAAGTTATTCTTTCATCCCTTTGTGGCCATTTCTTTGAAGGTTAGACCGTATATCTGCGAATCGTTTCCACTCACACAAAGTTTGCTGTGATTGGTTGTTGAGTTAGTCTTTGTTCTTGTTTTTTCTCATGACCAAGATTTGGGACGTAAATCGCTGTCTATCGATTTGGCTGACAGACAGCTATCACCACAGAGCGTCCACATAAATGGTTGTCAGGTGTGACATAATAATTTCACTCACGAAAAATTCAAACAAATTCACCTTGTATTAAAGTTTGCGCTGAATATGCTGTCTAGGAAGACAATTAAATCAACCAAACCAGACAACACAACCATGTCAAATAGATAAGCCCTAAAATTAGTGATCAAACTAAGACAACAGATGAGGATTAAGTCAGAGGGAGGTATGTAAAAGTCAGAACAATCCTATACAGTTTAGGAGAGAAAAACCTCTAGTAATCAGAAAGTTTGCTGAAATATCCATGGCCATCAGCATCTTTTAGTCTGTATCACTTACTTTTAAGATTTTATCAACTGGTAAATTGATGTTTTTTTTGTATTTCATATAGATTATACGCTGTCGGTGGTAGAGATGGAAGTGCCTGTCTTCGAACTGTAGAAAGATTTAATCCACACACTCAACATTGGTGTTTTATTGCTCCTATGCTACATCGACGAGGTGGAGTTGGTGTCGGTGCTGTCGGTGGACGGTTATATGCTGTTGGTGGACATAATGCACCACCTAATCAACCGCATGCATTAAGAACAGCTAGTGTTGAAATGTATGAACCGCACACAGATATGTGGACAGAAGTATCTGCTTTATCCTCACCAAGAGACTCAATTGCTGTTGCTCCACTTGGCTGTAAACTTTATGCTTTAGGTGGATACGATGGACAAGCTTATACAGATCGTGTAGAAGTATACGATCCAGAAGAAAACAAGTGGACTGAAGTAAGCTGATTAGAATAAACCGTTTTTTTAATATCCCTGAATCCCTAGTGAGTGAAAGGTATATATGTATATATATCGTTATCTACTAGATCACTGAACAATGACAGCCACGATATGGAAATATTCTGATTTCTGGTTGAATTATCTGCCCCAGTTCAGTCCATAGGCTCTCTAAGCAGAAGCTTTGATAGTACCAGAAATAATAATTTAAGGAAGGAGTACCATTACTTCCTAAGAAGTAGGGGATAACAGGATTTGTCACAGGATTTCATCATGAGCTAACATTGGTTAGAGAACCACTGGAAAACCTGGGATTAATGGATGGCTGTTTCGTCTTAGTTTGGGACTCTTCATCAGCAAGCACCCGTCGCCGGGGTTCAAACCCAAGACCTTCAGGTTACATGGAGAGCTAGCTCATTGACCATTAGGCCACTGGGACCCGATCCAATGGCCAGTCCATCAATTCTAAATTCTGCCAATTCACGTCATAGCTCGACTCTTAACCACTATCTTCGGCGAGTATTTGTCCTCACCCCTGACCTTTTGCACCCTGCTGGTCACGACTTCCCACTAGAACCCAGGTAACTACCTACCTGGATATGATTTCATCTTATTCTGTCGAATCTTGTCAATTACAGGCAACCTAAGACAGTCTCACTGATATAAGGATAAAGCTTGAACACTGAGGTGGTAGAGAATAACTCCATTACGGATAGAATTTTATTTTCATTAAATCACACAGTATAGTTTTATGCATACATATGTGATCATAAATCCCCCTTTCTACTATTCGTTTGCTATATGAGCTTTAGTGTGTAGACTGGTATATTCATAGATAACATGAAAGAAGGACTTCAAGACCTTAGATTGTCTCAGTGAACGATTTATATGGTAAAACATGACTGATCTGGTAACTGGAGGTAAATTCTTTTAAAGCATGTCATTCATTCTGCGCCCATTTTCTTCCAAATTCATTGTCACCTTTGAATCGAAAATTTCAGAAAACAGATTGCTCATTGTTTCAACTGATTTTGATAGTCGGTATTTGTTGACGTGTCAGTATTGTAGTATGGACTCTTTGACGATGTCTTAAGATTTTGGATGGCGATGTGCATTTCATCTTGTTTCGGTCTCCTCAATTGGATGTACCTTTATTCCCAGTGAGTCGAATATTTTTCCACCGAGATACTCACGGCCTAATGGCCTAATCGATTTTAACTTGACGTTTGAAGTGATGAATGCCGGGTTGGAGTATCAGTAGAAACGTCGGTGGCATAGCGGTTAGGACGCTTTCCGACCATGCACATGGTCCAGGGTTCGATCCCCGGCCGACGTACACATTTACCTCGCTAAGCCAGAAATAATGCTGGTAAAGAGGAAAGGTTGGGCATGAGGCTAGCAACGCTATCCTGTAAAATAAACACTGCTACAGAAACTTCAAGCCACTAGCTTGAAGCCCTATGTTCCACTGGGGAACGTGAAGGAGAAAAAAAAGGAACGTCATTACTCATTCAGTATGCAGGTTCATTCAGATTAAGAGTCGCAAAAGGGATGAAGCGTTCAACTTGGATTCCTCTGCTAGTCACCATGAACCAAAATAACATCAGGTTACTCCTTAGTTGCTTAAAATTTTATCTGTATTTTATACATTTTTTTAGAATTTGTTATTCGACTTCTAATTATTGAAGCCCATTAATGATCAACAGTTGTTCAGTTAGACTTTTGTTGCTTTTATTTTACCTTTCTTTTAGGCAGCTCCATTACCCAGTGGACGAGCTGGAATCGCTGTGGCAGCTAGTGGATCAAGTCTAACTGATACAACAAATTTAAGCATAAAATTATCTCACCATAAAGTTGATCCGCTCATTTAATAATTCAAGCAAAAGTGAACAAAAGGAAGGTATAGGAGTGGTGAAAACAACAAAACAAAATTCAGATGAAAAAAAAACTACCCAGAACTCAGCATTTTCTGTACACTTGAAGTGTGATTGTACATTATAAATTGTTTTTAGCATAAAATTTATTCATTATTTAGTTGTTATTTAATAATGTAAGTAGAGTGTCATGGGTCAATAATCCGAATAACCTCTTCTTGTTTCAGTCTTACCATGACTGAGATTTTCATTTCGTCTCTACTCAATCTTTCATCTTGCCCAATACTACTGCTGATAGTTCGATCACCAGTTATGGAATGTAGGTGAAAAGGAAAATCACAAAATGTCTCAAAGAGCAGACGCGTGCATCATTGATATAAGAATAAAACTTGTGCACTGTGGTAGAGTTTAATTTCATTATAGGTAAATATTTTAAATTCCAAGGCAAAATATATAGACAAACTGAAGGTGTAGCAATGCGATGGATCACCAATATCCCCTATCGTAGCAGACATATTTATGGACAGCTGGGAAAGTTATGCTCTTAATACATTTACTCCTACTCCAAAAATATGGTGGAGATATGTTGATGACACTTCCACCCACAGTGTTAAAAAACAGAACACATCTCTAGCTTCTTGACACATATAAACTCACAAGTTGAGGGAATAAAATTCACATTTGAATCAGAAAATGAAGAAGGAGAATTAGCCACGATGTAAGATTGTAAAATAAAACGAACGGAAGAAGGTAAACTGCACACTAGTGTTTATAAAATACCAACTCATTCAGCCAATATATATTTAGACTTTGATTCATCTCATCCGTTAACTGTTAAGGCAGGCTTAGTTAAGTGTTTAACAAATCGAGGAGTAACACTAAGTAGCACAAAAAAGATCTAAATGATGAAATAAAATAGATAGAAGAGGAGTTGGTGATAAATAACTAACTATCCTATAAAATTCATTAGGAAGATCAGTAAAGACCAAAAGCGAAATAAAAATAATTGTAAAACTAGCAATAGTAACATAAACAAGAGAGAACATAAGTCATCTACAGTTATACCATATAAAGAGGGGACATCTGAGACCCTACGTAGGATTCTAAATAAAGCAGGAATTAGGGTGGCATTTAAACCTACAAACTCACTCACGTAGGAGGGGCTCTGTAGGTTTAACGACCCAGTTGACCCAATCAGACAAAATAATATAATTTACAAAATACCCTGCAATGACTGTGAGGTCAACTACATAGGTCAAATTAGTAGGTCAGGGGTAGTCAAATTACCCGCCTGAACATAAGAATTTAGCTGAGGTTTTACTCTAATGGTTGGCCCTGAGAAGATAAGTAATTTAGAAAAAAGCTCTGCAACTGCAATCCGTGCATTAACACACAACCACACAATCGGGTGGGAGAGGGTTAAAATTCTAAAAAGTAATCTAGGTAGGTGGAGAGAGAGGTTGAGTACTGAATCCTTGTTCATCGAGTCTACACCAAACACTTGCAATAGGAATGATTCATCACTCATACCTGAAATATGGAAAATACTACTGCCAATCAAATCAAGTGAAAATCAAGCGAAAAATAATGGAACTATATAAATGAAATTAGGAAGTCGTGTGAGTACCTTGATATGATTATGAGCAATAAATTGTGCTCAAAACGTCATCAGTAAACATTACTGTATATTACGGTGAGACTTTATCAAAACAAAAATTTACCCATAATGGAATTATACTCTACCACAGTGCACAAGTTTTATTCTTATATCAATGGCGATGACATTGTTTAAAGCATTTGTTCCCTTTAGACATAAGCTTTTTGTTACATGTTCAGAAAATCGTAGATATGCCCTTCTTTCTGTCCTTCCAATGTAACTGCTCCGGCAGATACACGCAAATTTGTTTGAAATGAACTCTGTGCAAGTTTGTTAAAATTGTTTTTGTAGATATATTTAATAATGTCTTTGCCCTGTAAGCAGCTGACGAGGAGGCAACGAAATAAAAAATGGTAAAACTTGATTCTGCTCAAACTGTAGTTCTTGCTCTATTCAAATTACCATTATTATTATTGATTCGACGTTATTTAAGCAACGTTAATGTTGATAATAGAACTAATCTATTCGCCATTATGTATATATATATATATATATATATATGTATCTAACTGCAGAACCTGATGAAGAAGGATTTATCGAAAAGAATATTCATTTTTCACTAACCATTCTTTAGAAGAAAAATTATACTGACATTTGTTTATTATGTTTGGATATAATTCTCAGAATATAACTGATGTTACTATTATTATTTGGAATAACTTAGCCCTGTTTTAACAAATGTTTATCTTTAAAGTAACTATATTTTAAAACCCGCGTATTCTGTTCAATTTTCAATCTATTAGTGCAAAAAGTTTGGAAAGAAGGAAAGGTACTTACTGACTGGAAAAAGAGCTACCTCATCAAACTGCCAGAGAAGGGTGACTTAGGCCTGTGCAAGAACTTGTGTGGAATCATGCTGTTGTCTATGCCAATTAAATTATTAAGTCGCATCATCCTGGAGAGAGTAAAGGATGCAGTGGATATAGAACTCCGCCAGACTGTAAGAAGCTGGCCTGATTCAGGAAATGCAAATCATTTTACGATCAAATTGCAACTCTACACATCGTCATCACAGGACAAAGCACAAAATGCCAGTCAGACCTGTACCTCAAATTCATCGGTTTTTAAAAGGCCCTCGACAGTCGGCGTTGATCGAGAAGTAGTTTGGAAACTACCTCAATACCATGGAGTACCTCAAGTCTTGTCAACTTCATTCAAAAGCTATATGACAGCGTCACGTGTCAAGGGATCCACAACGGAAAACTTAGCGAGGCGTTCGAAGTGCATACAAGAGTAAGACAAGGTTGGCTGGATATTATCACTGACGATATTCTTAATTGTGGTGGACTTGATTATGTCAGACTGTTGAGAGAGGAATCAGGAATACGCTGGACGACCGATAAGAATACTCTAGATCTGGATTTAGCAGATGATATATGTCTAAAGTCACACAAACTCGAAGACTTGCGAGCTAAAACCAGCAGACTGGCTGAAGAGGCAGGGAAAATAGGACGACAGGTGAACACAGAGAAGACGAAGGTGATGAAGAAAACCAATCAACAGCACTTCAATTATCCAGCCAGGAATCATTGTTTCAACTACAGGCGGACATCACGGATAAAGATGTCAAAGCCAGCTAAAATCGGAAAGGCAAGACACGCCTTCATCAACCTGAAATTAGTTTGGAAGTCTTCCGCACTGACTCAGCATAAGGAACAAGATTTGCATTTTCAACACTAATGTGAAAACGGTCCTTCTATACAGGGTCAGAAACTTGTACTGCATGTCACAAAAAGGATTTCCAACAGGTAGCAGATTTTCATCAATAGATGCGCGCTTCGCTGGCTCGATGCTGAAGATTAAGTGGCCAGAAATAATAAATGGAATAAACTCTGTCTGGGAACAAACCAGTCAAGAGTCGATTGCTCAACAAATATGCAGGAGAAAGTGGAGATGCACCGCCCGGGCATTCATTGAGGAGGCCACCGAATGACATCGCGCACAATGCAGGCCATTGCTCGAGTGGCATCCAAATACGAAGTGACGAGTGGGTCGTCTTTGCTTGAGTGACATAGAGTAGATGGTGTGAGTGAGAGATGAGAGAGTTTGATCAATCATGGACGCGGATGAAGAGGACACCAGAAAACAGAACAAAGTGGAGATGGGTTGTTGATGCCCTATTTTCCAGTCGGTACGCAACCGAATAATAATATAATAATTCAATCGATTCTTATGAACGATTCAGCATAAATCTGTTAAGCCATTCATGACTTGACATTTATCATCTATCATATCATTTTTCACTACTTTTAATGCAAAACCTTTCCACGTTTGCTATCTATTTTTTTATTTATTTACACCAACAGGGAATATAAAGTTTTCTTAGAAAAGACATAAATAGCAGTGAAACAAAAGTGAATTTTCTTTTTTTTTCAATTGAATGTCAAATAAAAGTAATGCAATGAGGAAATAAAAGGTCAGAGATACGTAAAATATAATATAGTATGTTCTACAGTAGTGGGTACTACTGTCAAGATTCATCAGTAGTATATAGACAGAAGTTAATTAGCATAAAATTATCATATAGTAAAGTGATAGACTTGACGTAAAAGCCAGAAAATGAAGTAGTTTTAGTGCAAAACATGGGAGACACGAAAATAAATTCAAGGAGAAACTTTTGAAGGGCGAAAGTAGCACAACACCGAAGATCTGTGCAAATGAGGATTTGTAGATAAAATGTACACAATGTTCGTATATAGAGATATCGAATTCCAT